TCGCAACGCGTGCGAGGCCGCGCATGCTGACTTGGTTTGAACAGAAATCGACAACATCTTCACCACCCAGCTCCGTCACGAGTCTGAGGAGACCCTCATCAAGACTGGCAAGCCCTGGCAGATCAACCTGTACAGCGGTGTCTCCCACGGCTTCGCTGTCCGCGCTGACTTGAGCGTCCCCCACTTCAAGTGGTCCAAGGAGCAGGCTTTCTGCCAGGCCGTCAACTGGTTCAAGCAGTACCTGTAAATGTCTGAGGTAGAATTAGCGGCATCTTCTGTACATGTTACCATTAGTTAGATAATGAACCGGCATGAGGCATGATAATTTCGGTAATTATCAAAGCGAAAGAAATCATTGTAGAGAGAAGTAAGCGACGATGTTGGTTACTCTGTAAAGCATAAAGGAACGATAAGCGTTATCTTCCACGTGACCCCGGAGGATCCGCGCTGGGAAGAGAAAAGGCGAGACCAGATCAGCTTTCAATTTAAGAGCAACCAGATCCAGCCACCCCCGGAAAGCACTAAAGTAGTGCCTCTGCTCTCTTCCCTGGGGCTGTCTGGCCTTATATTCTAACTTATTGTTTCCCGCTATTTTTCTGCGCTGTTTGAGTTCCATCCGTTGGCTTGTTTCATCTTGGCTCAATTCCCGTCGCGTATACCGGAGTTTGCGTGCATTGCATCCAGTGGCTTCAAAACGAGTCATTGCCAATGGTTCAAAGTTCATAAGTCCTTCATCAAAACCAACAGAATTACCATCTCTCGAATTGTCCTACTCGGTTCCGCTCCTTTCCTCGACCACACGAGACACTCTCAAGCCCTCGTGACTATTCCATCGCTCCCTAGACTCCGCCAGTCCCGTGTTGTACATCGCACCTCGACTTTCACCGCGCCTTCATTGATATATTCCGCCTGCGATACTATCGACCTTCATCTATCATTGTAATAAACTTGCCTTGACATATCGCCTTGCTACGGCCATTCGCACTCGACCATGGCCACTCCCGCTGCCCTTCCGCCGCTACCCTTCAACCCGTCCAGGGTACGATCTTACGTCCTCCGCCTACCGCTTTTCACCCGGCTCGTGCTTCTAGCGATTATTGTATTCTGGCTGCTGGAGCTTCAGACAATCTGGAGTGTGGTACAATGGGGCTCCGTGATACCAGAGGAGGTTGGATTCGGCACTAGTATGTCTCTTCGGGCACACGTGGCCTTGCTTGCAAGTACAGCCAGGTTCTGACTCTTAGGACAGTGTACCGTCTTAACACCTACCCTTTCATCCACTTGGGATTCTTCCATGCCTTCTTGAATATACTTGCGCTCACGCCCTTGTTGGAGCGCTTTGAGGCCGAGCATGGCACATTGACCGCCGTTGCGCTGTTCATTGGACGTAAGTTGCTTCATGGTGTGCTTTAGGACGGGTGGACGAATGTGCTAATGGATGTTTACTTCTCGTTTAGCTCTTTCTACGCTCCCTGCAGGCATTTATATTCTGATTGAGAGGTTTGTTTTGCATAGGAATACTGCGGTCGTGGGTTCAAGGTGAGTGCTCTGTAGCATCTCTGGGTTGTCAAATGGTATCTAATGGGTGTTCAGTATCTGGGTCTTCCTTCTCCTGGGCTCCGAGGCCATTCGGACCTTCAAATCAAACCCCTACTTTAGGTATGTTCGAGCACTAGTCTCTGTCTCAGTTCCCGACTAATGCGGCTTCAGTCTTGGGTCGACCAAGATTCCGACGTGGACCTCGCCCTTGTTCGCATGCGCTCTTGTCTCGATTCTTGTGCCAAACACCAGCTTCCTTGGCCATCTATGCGCTATCCTAGTCGGATACTTGCGTAAGTAATTGTTTTTCAGTAGACCTCGGTTCGCAGCTAATCCGCTCGACAGTCGGCCTTGGGGTCCTCAAGATTTTCGTTCCCCCGGAGAAGGTTTTGAGATGGATTGAGGGCAAGCTCAATTTGCTCGGAAGACTGCCACACTACGTGTCAGTGGATCAGAAGACGTACGGCCGTTATGGAGTCCTTCCCACGACTACCACCGGCGGAGAAAGGGGAACCCCGATGAGCTTCCTCGGCTCATCGCAACGCCTTGGTCCGTGAGGACTAAGAACTAACGCTATACCTAAGTGGATACATTCTTGTGCATATTTAATTAGCATTATACGGCATTCAATAGTGACTCGCAATATTGCGTGGAAAGCAAATAATACTGAATCTAGGGGAAGTTGTGCAGGTGGTCTATAGCGGTTGACGTAAATTTGCGGGCAGATCAATTAGTGCTCCGTAGCGGCGGTAGACATCTTGCTCCGATCAAGCACCACCTTCACCATGGGATTTGGTTCCCTAATGCTTCAGATCTCATGGCCTTGAAATGTAAGATTCAAATTGATTTCTACTCTAACGCTCTATCTACGAAACTCGTTGCCCCCTTTTTGCCTTGCCCTCCCTACAGCTCCATGCTACTCACCCTCCACCTTACCCCGGATTGTCGCGAAGGACACCTCAAACGAGACCAGACCACGCTGACAGGTATTCATAACAGCTGCGATCCGCAAAGTGCGGAATAACCCTCACTTCCTCTTCGTGCACCTACCGCACATCCTCTCATTCATCTGCATCGTCGCCGGCGTTGTTTGGCTCCTCCTACTCCCCCTCAACGATTACTCCCGACAGACCTACATCTCCGAGAACGCGCTCCTGCCGGGTCAAGTTCACGCCTATTTCTCCGGTAGCGAGCAACACATCTTCCGTGGGTACAAGAAGGAGCTAGAGGGGGTACTTGAAGGGCAGACTGCCGAGGGACAGGAAGCATGGAATGATGCCTTTACTCCTGCGTATGTTACTGGAGCTCCGCACCGTCGCGAATGGGAGTACGATATGAATTCAATTTGCTGACTGGACATATAATGCTGCTTAGTGTGTCGGATAAGATCCAATCAATTTTGAAAGCTACCGGGTTGAAAGTCGCCACGCAGAACTACGAATACACGTCGTCAGGGATCACGCATCAGGGACAGAATGTCTACGCGATTATTCAGGCGCCGCGAGGAGATGCCACCGAAGCTATTGTGCTTGTGGCGGCTTGGAAGACCGTGGAGGATGAACTGAATTTGAATGGTATTACGCTTGCTCTTACACTGGCGAGATACTTTAAGCGTGGGTGGCTTCCTCGGTCGTTATGGGATGTGGTATGGTTTGCTAATTGGATGGAGAACAGGGTGGTCGCTGTGGTCGAAGGATATCATCTTCTTGTTTCCGCCGGACAGTAAGGCAGGCACTCAGGCATGGATTGATGCATACCATGATATGCAGCCGGCGTTTGTGCAGCCCCTTCCCTTGAAGAGCGGTGCTTTGCAAGGAGGCTTGGTGATCGAATACCCGTTTGACCATCGCTTCGAGTCTCTGCATATCCTCTACGACGGCGTTAATGGTCAGTTGCCTAACCTAGATCTGTTCAACACGGCTATATCTATTACCGGTGGGCAGATGGGCATCGGGACCAATCTGCAGGAGATGTGGGATCACGATGATAGTTACGAGATGCGGTTGCAGACCATTATGAGAGGAATGGTCAAGCAGGGCTTTGGCTATGCCACGGGTCCTCACAGCAGTTTCATGCCGTATCACATAGATGCTATCACACTCCAGACGAAGGGCGAAGGTTGGCAGGATGAGATGGCACTGGGCCGCACAGTTGAGAGTCTCTGCCGCAGCTTGAACAACCTCCTCGAGCATCTGCACCAGAGTTTCTTCTTCTATCTTCTCATGCAGACCAACCGGTTCGTCAGCATCGGCACATATCTCCCCAGCGCGATGCTGATTGCCGGTAACTTCACCATCATGGCAATCGCTCTCTGGCTCCGGACAGGCTACTACCCTGGCTCGCAGCAAGCCTCGAAGCCCACGAAAGAACAAGTCACAACCACGACCACAACTACAGAGAAGCACGACGACGAACAAGCACCACCCGCGAAAGCAGACGCCAGTAACAACATCATAGAACGTCAACTGGCCCTCCCGCTCACTCTCGTCGTCAGCCTCCATCTCCTGGGTCTAATCCCCCTCTACATCTTCAACAACATCCCCCACCAGGTCCGTATCCCCCCTTCCCCTATAACAACCCAAACTCATTTCTAACAACCAACGCAGTACTACCCAACAGCAACCTACACCAGCATCCTCGCCAACTTCATCCTCCCCCTCCTCCTCTCCGCCACCCTCTCCTACACCCTAACCCCCCAGCCACAACAATACCACCTCATCAAATCCTTCTCCCTCCTCATTCTCGGCCTCTTCCTCTCCACCCTCGCAACCCTCAACTTCTCCCTCTCCTTCATGGTCGGTCTCCTCTGCGCCCCGCTAAGCTTCATCCACCGCATCAACCCGCAAACCACCTCCCGTCCCCTCAGATACGTCCTCAGTACGCTCGCTCTGGCACTATTGAATGTACTCTCCCCGCCTGTCGTCCTGCTCGCAGCGTGCTGGTACTTCAGCGCTGATGTCGAGACGGTCTTGACGCAAGCCGCTTTCGGGTGGGATGTCTGGGGCGTGTGGACGCAGGTCGTTGTTTGGTGTGTTTGGTGGCCTGCTTGGGTGGCCGGGTGTGCATTGGTTGGGTTCTCTCTGTTCTCATCCTGATTGAATGATAACGAGTTGAGTATATGCTTGGGGGGTGGGATCAAGGGCTTTAAGACTTGATTGATAGGTTGAAAGAAGTCTTACATAGGTGGAGGCAAGGATGGATAGATCAATAGTTCGTTATCTCTTTTTCCGTTTCTGTACTATAATAGGCATGCATTTATGTATGTATAGGTTGAAAGTTACATCATATCAGATGTTATTGTGGATGTGAGTGTAAAGAGAGCTAGAGAGGGCTTCGTAGATCTCAATTATAATGAGGTTCTAGTACTTGTTCGTACATACATGCATGGTAAGTCTTTTACCCATCAGACAGGACTAATCATAAGAAACAGAAGACGATATAAAAGAGATAGAAAATGGGACCTATGCAGCCCACACATCCTTTCCAACGCCCTCGATCCAGTGACCCAGCTGGTTGACACCAGCATCCCAATCCTTCAGACGGTTCCGCATGCCCTCGATCTGCTTCATATCCAGAACCTTCGGCTGCACCCAGTTGATCTGGGCGACCTGAGCCACCTGATCAATGGCACCCTTGAGCAGACCCAGCGACAAGGCCTTCATGATCAGATGCTCGATCTCCTGGGGCTTGACCTTCGTTTCGGCGGAGATGGACGAGAAAGTCAGGTTGCGGTCGTGCGGGGGCCGACGGAAGACCATCTCCGTCAGCGCGGACAGGGAGATCTTCTGGTACAGGAAAATGCGGTGTTGCTCGAGCAGCTGGTTCTTGGAGATGTTTCCGGCGAGGACGTCGTAGGCGGTCAGGTCGCCGCGGTTGAAGGCGAACAGGAGCTCGCGCAGCCAGCTGTGCGGCGTCTCGGTGAGAGAGTCCAGGATCGGGTGCAGGAGGAGTTCACCGAAGTTGTAGATAGTGTCGGAGACGAGCGCGGCCACGCTAAGGTTGTATGCGCGGGAGACGCGCTCGGCTTCACTGAGATCCTCGAGGTTGATGCAGGCGAGGTAGAGGAGGGCGTTCTTGTAGAAGGAGGCGAATTCTTGTTTGGCCTGTGGATTGGGTGAACAGGGTTAGTGAGGTCTATGTGGCGGGTGCGGGGGGGGGCATACGTGGTAGTAGTCCGCGTTGACTTTGTAGAAGGATGCGTGCACCACAGTCTCAACGGAGTCGAACGTGTCCAGCACTTTCTGGCATGTCTCCAGGTCCTTCTGCGCACCGTTCAGGTCTTGTAGCCGTTGCTTGACGTTGGCGACATCCGCGAGGGCGTAGATGTAAGCATCTTGTGACTCGGGCTTGTTGACTTTGTCTGCCAGCGATGTGAGGAAGGTGAGGCGTTCTTGGTCATCTGATAGCAATAATGTTAGCGATGCTTTTGGTTTGCGAAGATCCATACAGGGATTAGCTGGGATACGAACTTGAGCACTCTGTTGACGCCATCAACCCCAGCGAGACGAACTTGAGCTGATTGATTCTGTCGGCGAAGCTGAGGACGAAACTCTTGAATATCGGTAGTCGCTGGGCAGCGCTCTCTGGTAGACGGAAGAATTCAATCAAGGAATCCGTAAGCTGATGCCATAGTTTGCGTTCCCAGTAATCTTCGAAGCTCAGGAAATAGGCCTGGCATTGCTCGGGAGCTTGCTGCAGCTGGTCGGCGAGGAAATCGGAGATCCGTTGGTTCTCCATGTTGGAGGAGGATTAGGAATACGGTATGAGGTCTAGGATGGGATGGATGAAAGACCGAAAGGAGGGAGAAGGAGAATGGGCGTAATGGAGGGAGATGGAGGCAGGGAAGCTGATCTGAAGTGGAAGCGGAGCTGGTCGTGATGCAGCGCCGTCGAGCTCGGGCGGTGAGGCACATGACATCCTACATCATCTTCCGTCTATTGCAGTATAGTTATCGTAACTTCTCCGGCTTCATTTAGGGTGAGAACTAGCGTATCCATTCATTCATTCATTGGGCAGAAATTGCTGGTCCTGATGTGAGCGTGTTAGCTGAAGGTGCCTGATCCGCTTTAGGGATTAACTTGGCGGCGACATTGGAGGGTCTACAAGAAGTATCCGATATGTCTCCGAACTTGCCTACTGTAAGCTTCTGGTCAGTCTGCTCAGCCATGGTCAAGCAAGCTATAAATATGGCTCTCTACACCCGCCTTCCCCCTGTCTCGTAGTCATCCTAAGATACTTTCCCAACACCAATTGATCAATTAAATCATTTCATACGTAGCTATACTGTGATAGCTAAGCCGAATCTCTATCTAAACATGGCAGAGCACACAGAGAGGAACCGTCAGTACTTTGAGTATGTGCACACCACCTTTTCTTTGCTTGATGATGTTGTCTTATGCTTTACAGCAAGCTGGCCAAGTCCTACACCAGCGACTTCAAAAGTATCCTGGAATCCATTTGCAGACTGGTGGACAGTCACCGTCCATGGATCAGTGATGCATGGATCGACACTGAAGCTGGAAAGGGGAAAGAGATCAAGATGTTAGAGTATGCATGTGGGACTGGGCCTGTTTCTTTGGTAAGTTACTATGTCTCGTTCGCATTGCTATTGAAGTAGCATTGTCATGAACCGCGAGTTAATTTCATAGACGTTGGCACCTTATGTCTCGAAGATCGTTGGACTCGACGTTTCGGATAATATGATTAGCGAGTACAACAACAATGCCAAAGAAGCGGGCTATGAAGACAAGATGGTCGCACTCAAGGGTGACCTTTTGGCTGAGTCTGCTCCGGCAGAGCTCTCAGGGCCCGAGTACTTTGACTTTGATCTCGTGGTTGTCAGCATGGCCCTTCACCACTTCGAGAGGCCAGAGTTAGCCATGGCCCGCTTTGGAGAGCGTCTGGAGAAAGGTGGTGTGTGCGTTATTGTCGACATTGTGCCAGACGATCACCACCATGGCCATTGTCACAATGTTGAGCATGGCTTTGGCGATGCTGCGCATACGGTCAAAAGCCATGGATTTACCATGGATCAAATGAAGCAGCTGTACGAAGAAGCTGGACTTGGAACGGGCTTCAAATATGATATTTCGAAGGAGCAGGTTGTATTCCGCAAGGATGGGAAAGAGCATCTGAAGACCATATTCATTGCTCGTGGGCAGCGTGCGTGATAGCAAAGGAATAGGTTGCTTATGCTTTGGTGATTAGCTTATAAATGCGATATGACAAGCGTCACGTTCGTTCAGCAGTAATGCGATGTTCATTTTCCACAGGTTCTGCAGCAATTGACTTTGTAGTTCTTGGTTGTTAGTGGTAGGTTCATTTGGATCTCGACATGACGATGATGAGCGCCTAGCAACCAATCAGAGGCTTTGAATAGTCAGACGCGCTCCGGTGTGAAATGCAGTGACGGCCATAACCACGCCTCCATAGCTAGATATGTGTGTAGATTTTGATGGCTGAAAGATTCATTCATCTAGATACTTAATCAATCACACAATTGTCTGAAGGACAAGTAGGAAAGAGTTGGCAGACAATTGAAAGGTCGAGGGTGCTGTCCGAAAAAGGACTAGCGCCAAGTCCCGTGCCAACTCCAGGATATTCGGGACCACGACTTTCGACCAGCTGCAGTACAAGTCCTGACGTCGAGCTACGCTCTCTCCCCTCTCCTCACCATTGTCCATTGAAACACCGATCCGGACGCAGTTCGGTGGTCTCGTCCGTTTCATATCCAGAATTGAGACCATGCAGACGTCCCGGGCCGTCAATTCCGCCATGGGCGCCAGGGCATTTGTCCCCGCTCCTAAGATCCGATTCCAGATCCAGCGCCGGAATCTTCAGGATGTCGCGATCACTAGAACTGGAAAGCCGATTCTGAAGGTCCAGGGTGGCCGGTAAGGCGCATTGTCGTTGTGATGGAGCTCCGCGATGCTGACTAGTCTTTGCTACAGGTCCTCTTTGGGAGGTACATATCCCTCTTCTGCCGCGCCGGTCTCACGCTACCAGATGGCTAAAATTGCTCTACTTTAGGTCACACCGCGACCGTCTTCGGTGCTACTGGTTTCCTCGGTCGTTACATCGTCAACAAACTCGGTATGTTGGTCAATTGGTCGGAAGGGAGCACAGGAATTGACGCCTTCCAGCTACGCAGGGATGCACCGTTGTCGTCCCCTACCGTGAGGAGATGACGAAGAGACACTTGAAGGTCACTGGTGACCTTGGCCGTGTCAACTTCATTGTATGATCCGTCAATAATAGTGTGGTTGGCTTGGCCCACTAATCGTGGTCTAGGAATACGACTTGCGCAACACCCAGTCCATTGAGGAGGCTGTGCGCCATTCCGATGTTGTCTACAACCTTGTCGGTCGTCAATATCCCACCAAGTCAGTCCTCCATAGGCACGAGAAGGCGATGCGCTGCTAATAACTGGGCAGGAACTTCTCCTACACTGACGTCCACGTCGACGGTACGGAGCGCATCGTTGAGGCTGTTGCCAAGTACGACGTTGACCGCTTCATCCACGTCTCTTCCTACAACGCCAGCCGGGACTCTCCTTCCGAGTACTTTGCGACCAAGGTCCGTGGATCGATCCGCCATAGTTACTTTCATACTGATTGTCGCAGGCCTGGGGTGAGGAGATCGTCCGCAACATCTACCCCGAGACCACCATTGTCCGCCCTGCGCCCATGTTCGGTTTCGAGGACAACCTCCTCCACAAGCTCGCTCGTGTGACCAACCTCCTCACATCGAACCACATGCAGGAGCGCTACTGGCCCGTTCACGTATGTTAAGAGGTTGACTTTGTTAGGATTCAGCTAACATGCATAGGCCATTGATGTCGGTACTGCTCTGGAGCGCATGCTGCACGACGACAGCACCGTCGGTCAGACCTTCGAGCTGTACGGTCCCAAGAACTACTCCACCGCCGAGATTGCCGAGCTGGTCGACCGCGAAATCGTCAAGCACCGCCGTCACGTCAACGTGCCCAAGGCCATCCTCAAGCCTCTGGCTTACTACCTGAACAAGTACCTCTGGTGGCCCACCATCTCCGCCGACGAGGTGGAGCGTGAGTTCATCGACCAGGTGATCGACCCCAACGCCAAGACGTTCAAGGATCTCGACATTGAGCCTGTCGACCTCAGCACCCTGACCTTCCACTACCTGGTAAGCACCCCTTGACCAAATCAATCCTCTCAGAAACTAACAAGATGCAGCTGGGTTACCGTAGCGCCTCGTACTACGATCTCCCTCCGGCCACGGAGCGCGAGAGACAGGAGGAGAAGAAGTACCTGCACGTTCTGGACGACCAGTAGTCTGTTTTTTTAGTGTACATAACCTACTAGACCCAAATTTCGTTTGTTCCGTCACAGTGTAGTTGTATTACTCAGTAGAAGAATAGCCGCGGCTTCTCCGCATCCGTCCATCCCACTTCACCACAACAACAACCCTCACTCATCCTCGTCCACAACCTCAACCACACCACCACACCCCTAATTAACTACAAATCAACACAATGACCTCCCCAGAAATCACCAACAAACCCCCCATAATCCTCCTCAAAACCAAATCCACCCCGCACGACAACTACTCCGACTACTTCCACCACCCCACCAGCAACTACACACCCACCTTCATCCCAGTCCTCTCGCACAACTTCCACACCGAGAGACTACGCTCCATCCGCGAGCTCTTCACATCCGGCCAATTACTCCCTTCTCAGAAGAATAATGACCGAAAATACGGCGGATTGATCTTCACCAGCCAGCGCGCAGTCGAAGGCTTCGGGAGAGTACTTGCTGAACTTGACGCTGGTAATTCACCCTACCCCACCACTACCACACCATACAAAATCAACAATCATACAGAGACTAACAAGAAACAGACAGCGAAGCTAAAGCTACACTAAAAACCTCCTCCCAAAACCTCCCCATCTACACCGTCGGACCCGCAACATCGCGCTCCCTCACGACCATCATTGACAAATACCTACCGCACGCGAGCATCCACGGCGCAGATACAGGGAATGGAGAGGCATTAGCGAAGTATATTCTTGAACACTATAATTCTCTTTATACTACTACCAATACCACCACCACGACGTCATCAAATCCCAATGGGGAAGATGTATACAAGCCACCGTTACTTTTCCTCGTTGGCGAACAACGACGGGATATTATCCCGCGGAAACTTATGAATCCTGATCTCCCCCCGGGGGAGGGTATTGGTGTTGATGAGGTGATTGTGTATGAGACGGGGGTGATGGAGGGGTTTGAGGAGAGTTTTAGGGGGGTGGTTGAGAGGGAGAGGGAGGTTATGAGGAATAATAATAATAATAATAGTACTACTGGGGGGGAGGGGAAAGGGAGGGTGGTGTGGACGGTGGTGTTTTCGCCGACGGGGTGTGAGGGGATGTTGAGGGGGTTGGGGTATTTGGATGATAAGAGTGGTAGTGGTTGGGGGAAGGTGGATGGGGATAGAAAGAGGAGGAGGTTCTTTGTTGCGACGATTGGGCCGACGACGAGGGATTATTTGAGGAGGGAGTTTGGGTTTGAGGCGGATGTTTGTGCGGAGAGGCCGAGTCCTGAGGGGGTGGGGGAGGGGATTGAGAGGTTTATGAATGAAATGATGAAATCTTCTTAGGAGACTTAGGGGTGGTGGGTGTTGGTGGTGTAAGATACCTGTGATGTGTATATACCCTTAGTTTAAGAAGTTCATACCACTCTATCAATCGCTAACGTAATGTATATTCAAGCTGGACTATCGCTGAAACTGCACGCCGCTTCCACATCAACATCAACAATAATCTCGAGATGCTGCAGTCATGACTCCCTCACATATGGGCTATTCGACATATTACTGCGTACAAGGCCAGCGCGCTGAGTGCTGCTGCCTGTTCTCTATGCATCATGGGTATGTGCTAAGCCAACTCCGTCCATCATGTCAGGCTCTGCCTTTGTTCCGTGTCGGGTGGTATATCAATTGCATTCATCGACTCGTGAAGCCTTTACCGCATAATCTCCTCGTAGATCAGGACTGCGCATGTTAGTAATAAGACTCTCTCAAAGTAGGCGGTATTACTCACGCTTCAATTGCTCCTTGCTGAGTGCATCTTTGTTCTTGTCGAAATCAAAGAAGCCTTCGGGGATCGGGGGCGCCGTGGGCTCATCATCGGGGTCATGGTAGGGCTCCAGGTACGGATGACGCAACGCCTCCTCGACAGTGATACGCTTCGCAGGGTTGAACGCCAGGAGCTTCTCCAGAAGGTCCAGCGCCAGCTCGTTGCTCTTGGGGAACATTGCGCGGAAGGGGATCTTCTTCTTGAAGGGAAGTGAGCGAATGTACTCCCGAGCCCGGCGAGACTTGATGCCGTAGTAGTCTTCCATGGTTGGTGTGCCAAGGACATCAAGGATCAAAGTCAACTGGTGGTGGTAGTCCTTTCCGGGGAACAGCGGCTTTCCACTCAGCATTTCTGCCAAGATACAGCCGACACTCCAGACATCGATCGCCTTGGTGTATTCCTTGAACGTCAACATAATCTCCGGGGCACGGTACCAACGCGTCGCAACGTATTCCGTCATGAAGCCAGAGTTGTCGTCGGTCGATGCGGCTGACCGGGCCAGACCAAAGTCACAGACTTTCAGGTCGCAGTTTGCGTTGAGGAGAAGGTTGGAGGGCTTGAGATCACGGTGAAGGACGTTGGCGGAGTGCATGGCCTTGAGCGCACGCAAGGTCTGGTAGATGAAGTATTGGCAGTGGTCATCGGAGAGGTCCTGGGTACGAATGACCCGGTGCATATCCGTCTCCATCAGTTCCTAGATTCGTCAGTTTCATCTTATCTAGGCTCTGCAATGAGCGTACCTGAATCAGATACACCTCGTTGAAGCTCTCATAATTCCGAGGCCTCTGGATATCCAGAATGGAGATGATGTTCTCGTGGTTGAAGTAGCGCAGCAGCTTCATCTCACGCAAAGTCCGCAAGCAGAACATCGAGTGGTCGAAGGGAGTGATCTTCTTGATGGCGACTTTCTGGCCAGAGGGCTTGTGAATAGCAGAGCTTGGGTTCATTAGTACGCCGCCATCATTTACATGTGAGCAACTCACCAAACGACACCGTAAGCTCCCTCACCAATAACATCCTGGATCTCATACTGGTCGGAAACGTTGAAAGAGATCTTGCGCGACCCCCCTTGAGGAGGCATTTGCTGCACCATGTTTGCGGTTGTGTACTATCAAGTGTCAGTCAAAGTCAATGAGCGTATATGCTGCAATCAGTAGTGTTGGGCCGTGTTCTCATTATACTATCTCATCACATCTCATGACACCCTCTGAAGTGACAAGGTAGGCCCGTCACATGCAGCAACAAAATGGCCTATTGAGTAACACCGCGACCCACCACATGTTCAAGCAACAGACACCAGGCTAGCGCTTACAGGAGGGCTCTCGATTGAAGTTGGTTATGTTGGGAGGCTAATAACCGCCAATGCGCATGCTAGGGCGAGAGTGGTAGACGAGTGACAGTCGTTCGGGAGCTGTCAAGGATCGGAAGCGGGGTACAGCGCGTCTGCAATCGAAACCACGGAGGACCCGCAAGTAGCCGCCAGGAGTTTCGGAGGCGCCTGTACGTTCGGGATGTGAGGGATTCAATGTAGAATCGGGAACCAGTAGCGGTTGGTCGTGAGGCAGACTGGGTGAGCCGCTCAGCAAGGACGTGCGGTGGATGTACAGTATGTGATGACCTAAAAAGGAACTGAGGGATGTCAATGAACCGGTCCAACACGAGCGGAGAGAACCTTTTGTAATACGCAGGTCAAGAGGCAAGAAGTCGCTGAAAAGGAGATGAACTTACCAATGTTGAGGAGCTATTTTCACACTCCGTCTGGCGTTTCACAGTTCCGTTCTATTTTTAAATCCGTTGTATGGTGAATCCCTCGTAGCTTGCGCTATGCAACCGCGAGTCAGTTTCAAAGGGTTCTTTGAGCTTTCTCGAATAGGTAGTGGAAACACACCAGGGGCAGATCGGAGAGGGGGGGGAACACAGAAGAAGAGTAAGCGCAGGAGGAGGGAGAAAAGACAGCAGGAGCAGTTCGAGGGGATGTGGAGAGGGGATGGAGAGACACAGAGCAATAGTGAAGGCAGTAGTAGGAAGCAATGAGGAGACTAGCGTACGTAGTTGGAAGTTAATAAACCGGGCGCGGATCGGCCAGAGTGGGGTGGGGCTGGATGAAGAGGAAGAAGAGAGAGAGATGAAAGAAGACAGAAGATGAGGGAGATGAGTAACAAAAAGGAACTTGACAACAATAGCTACAATAGATGAATAGAAAGAGAGAGAGGGAACAAGTGTTCTTGCGCAGTGAATGCGTGGCCTCCCACTTCTTTGAAGACGCAACACAGATGAGGGGGAGAGAGAGAGAGGGACAGAGCGAGAGAGAGAGCCTACCAAATCTCGGGATGCTCCAAGAAGACCCGGAAAACGTGGAGCAAGTTATCGATAGAAGGCACCGACCCAAGGAACGACACTCGATAGCAGATAAGCCACAAGCTGTAGTTTAGGGAAGTTTGAAGGGCCAGGGGGGGAAGTTGAAATTGATAAATATAGCACTTGAACCAACAATGGAGAAACCACCTACTACTAGTAGTAACTATGACCACCAACAAACAGCCACCAGTGGGAGAGTCCGAAAGTTAAGGGAAATTCCATCTTATCCAGCTGGAGGCGAGATGGCCTGAAGCAACTGGCAGCGAGACAGTCCAACTGGTTAAAACAGAACTATTTGGTTACGGTACGGTACGCGTGCCTGATCCAGTGTTCCACCAGGAACATCATCTCCATCATCTCCATCTAGACTATCATCTATTTTGTAAAAGATATTTATGTTGATTGACTATATATTGAACTATACACCATATACAATTCAGTCCCAAACTCAATAATCTATTCACACAAATTTCCCATCAATCCCAAACCCGTCTCTCGTCTCTTCATCTCACCTTAGTTTTGACCCATCTCATACCATTTCTGGCCCCCTCCTTCTACCCAAACTAACCCCATACTAACTATAACTACCACTACTACTTACTCTCATCCAAGCAAGAAATCAAAATGAGCAACTCCGTACAACTCACCAACTTACTCCATACAGTAGGAGACAAGACAGACAGACCCGTCACTCGCAACAGCCTCACAGTCGATCAACCCCGTCCCCTCCTTACATCCTGTCATCTTAAACGTGGCCGTCAACCACCCACACCCTAGAATGAGCCCCTCCCCCCCTCCCTCTAACTTCTGAGGCTACGTCTCGACCAGTGTTTCAAC